AATAATCATTTTATGAAATAAATACAAAAGCAATCAAGTAGGTATTCTTAGTATTTTTCCACCGTAACGAGTGATTATGTTATGAATAAGAATAATGAGCGTAATTGGGTTTTCAATCTATATAAAATCTTTCAAAAACATAATTAAAATATCGAAAGATTGCAGTTAGTCTTCGACGCTTTCATATGACATTACCCAACAGCTTTCAAAGGTATTTGTAACCATCAATTTGCTTAGAAAATTCCGATTTACGTCAAATGAACGTTATTGTTCAATCAATATCTTTCAAAAAAATGTCACGGTCGCAATTGCTTTGACATGTCAAATAGTTGTAGCGTGAAGTTCGCGAATGTCTTTCAAATGACAAATTCAAAGTAATTTGTGAAAGATTTTTTTTAGACAATTAGGCCACTGGTTTTTGTTTGTCATTACTATTAGCATCAATGCTATCATTATGATGCAATGTTAACATCAAAAGAACAATCTTGAAGAACACTATCAATTTCGAAATCACAATCGGAATCAAACTATCCTGATCAGCGGCTTCAAAAAGCCTTATTAATCTTCTTTGGTTTTCTAATTACTTAGCTGAAAAATAAAGAATATAACGAATATAAACCAAAAAAAAATGTTAACTTGAATTATTTCACAAAGCGCAAGGTGGGTGAAAATCAGCCAGCCGAAACTCGGAAAAACATCGTTAAAATGGAAGACCGGAATGTCAAAAATACCCCCAGCAAAACATAACATATACACACCAAAACAACAAATAAAATACACACAAACATCATTCAGAAGAATTAAAATGGTCATAATGAATCTGAAAAATAACATCACACATTATAAAACTAAAAGAATAAAAAATAAAAACACAAGGAAAAGTTAGGAACACGAGAGTATATGATTAGCATATACTCAAATGACCAATGAAAACAACAGAATAAAATAAAAATAACAGGACTAAACAAATAAAATAATAGGCAACAGATAGAAAACAGTAAATAAAATGATAAGATAGAAAACAAAAATTAGGAAATATAGGATAGGAAATAGTAAATTAGAATTAAGAATAAAATAACAACATGCAACAATAGATTAAGATAGAATATATAAGATAGAATAAGAAAAGTATTTAGAAAAAGAAAAGACAAAAATGTAATAAAAATACTAAATGAAAATCTGAAAAGACATGAAACACAACAATGTAAATAGAATAAGTATAAAGAATAAATGTAAACCAGAAATGCAATTAGGTTAAGAAAACATCAAGAAAATATAAGGACAAAAGTCCAAACAAAACAATGAAGACAAACTAGAAAAAATAATAATGTAATAAAAATAATTAGAATAAGATAAGATAAAGTAATAATACGCATATAAAGGATAAAGGATAAAAGACATCTAACATAACAATGTAAATAGAATAAATATAAGGAATAAATGTAAAACAGAAATGTAACTAGGATAAGAAAACATAAAGAAAATGTAAGGACGAAAAGTTCAAACAAAATAATGAAGATATAAACTAGAAATAATAATAATGTAATAAAAATAATTAGAGTAAGGCAAGAAAAAGTAATGTTATAAAAATAAAGGAAAATATGTAAAATTAATAAAGAATGTTAATAAAACAAGAAAAGTAAAAAATTTATTTATTTATTATCATAAGACACACTAACAGTACAAAAATCGAAACAATAATTACGTAATCACCAAGAATCACATCTGATATTTGCACCAATTATAAGCGTGTACAGCATTGGCAAATTGTGTCACAATTGAAATAAATTTAATACAAATTTACAAATTATAAAATAAAATAATAATTCTAATTGATTAAGAATACTCAAATATTACAATTAATACATTGCAATGTTAAATTCTACTTAGTCATATAATACAAATAAAAAAAAAATTTAGATATGTTGATATTGCATGTCAGTTTGAAATAAAATTAGCTTAAAAGAAATAAATAAAAGTGATTAATTTAAGTAATAATAATAATAATCAAAATTGTTAATAGAAAGATACTCAAAATTAATAGAAATAAGTAAATTAGAATAGAAAAGATAAATAGAAATAAATAGTAAAAAGAAACTATAATAAAGAAAACGAGTCTCCATTAATTAATAAAAAAGTAAAAATAAGAAAAAATATTAGCTATGATCAAAGATAGAGATAGATGTGACAATCCCAGTCAGTCACTCACGGATTGATAGAAAGATCAGGAATGAAGAATGAAAGGCGAATAAAAGCGAGAACTGGAATGAAAGAGAAACAGAAAAATAAAGGCCTGCTACAAAGTGGGGTGCAGCCAGTATAAAAAAAAAACACCTCTAATCAAGATCATGCCTCGTAAAATCCGAATCATAGTAAATAAAAAAAAAAAGTTAAAAACGTTGATATCTACCGTTTGACATTTACGTTGTTAACTGAATGAGCAAAGCCTGAAAGCAGACCAAGAATAAAGTTGATGAAGTCATGACTGTTTTTCTTTTGTATATTGACCTTTGAATAACTTGACGATTAAAGTAAACTTTTATATCCATAAAATTAAAAATATATATATATCCGTATTGGTTTGCAAATTTTGCAAATCATATTGATAACATCACACAAATAAGTCGATAACCTGATTCTATGCATGTAACCAGGTTATTAAAATGGAGATAACGCACATATTTTTAATATATCATTAATATGTAAGTTGCTGTTAGATATACAACCATCGTAGTCTTGCCTCGTAAACTTGATAAACCTAAATAAAAATGGTAACCCTCCAAAACTATTGGATCTAAGATGTCACCGGGACCGAAACATTAAGATGTCACCGGGTAACCTGAACTATAATTTAGGGCGCGTACAATATAATAAATGTATAGCGAGAAAACAGTTAGTTTCTGATATGTAAAAAAATAGACAGTAACGTGCTAAACAATGCTGTCTATTTTTTAACAAACAAACTTGGTATTCCGAGGATCTTAGATGACTTCATTTTGGCAGATCTATTTATTTTTAAATTTATTTATCTTTATAGCATATTTATAGGGTACGTTAGGAGTTTAAAATGTCTTTTAGTAGTAGATCGTTTTGTTGCTTTTGTTTTACTACAATTATTTACTGAAACATATAACGATATTTTATTACGTCTTAAACACTTGTTCCGAATATTCCTTGCCAGTTATCGGAGTCAGAGATTGATGGGTAGGTTACTTACGTCTATCTGACTATAGACGATGTAAGAAGGGAATTTGGTGGGTAGGTTACTTACGCTTTGACCAGTCTTGGCTGGTCTGGCACTTGGAGTGCTGGTTAGGTCAAGGTCGTGTACATCTTATGGATATTGAGGTATATAAGAGTGTAAAACATGTGTCAAATAACTCACTATCGTTATCATTTTCAAAGATTTTTAGAGCAGATTTAATACTATTGATAGTCAATTGTTCTGTTCTGATCTGTTTACGGAAGAAAGAGAAGCAAGTCCAGGCATCACAAGCGATGATTAAAAGCATATAGTTAGGTATTGCTTTAAAATTTGTTGGCAGTACCCTTTTTAGATAGATCTCTAAGTTCATAAAATTAGTAGGAGGTTAGCAATATTTATTGTCATACGACAGAGATGCCCTGCTTGTGGGAATTTTTCATGCAACAGACTTTAGACAGCTTACCATAGAGATTTTTCTGACACTCCTCAGTGAGTTACCAAGTACCGATACAAATACTTACTTTCGATACTACTTATTACTCGGTTATAAAGTATCAATTAGAAAAGTACTTGTAAATTGTAACTAAAAAGAACAAATACGGTTTCAGCATACAAGAGTACATTTATTTAAAAAGTTTACTCATTTTTTTTTCTTTTACTCCGACCCCAATATTATAAAGAACTTTTCTTTACTCAACAATGTGATGGATGTAGGTTGTGTAAATTGAATGTAAATTGAATTTTAATGTTTTATTATACGTTAATAAATATAAGCTAGGTACACATTATTTTTAAGTTTATTTTTTTATTTCTAAGTATAATACATTTTGTTATATTAATTATGAATTCGTCCGTGACTATGTATCACTTAAACTCATCACACCGAAACTACAGAACCAGTTTTAATGAAATTCGATACACAAATTGAGTGCACTTTAGGAAAGGACATAAAGATTGAATTGTGAATCAGACATTTTTACCGCAGTAAGTAATTATTTCACGCGGGTAAATCCACAAGCGGAAAGCTAGTGTAAAGTATATAGCAATCTTAATTAATCGATTAAACATCATACCCGTGGAGTTATCTTTCTTGCACTAATACCACCAACCACCTTGGTCTCTTACCAAAACAACCATGTCTCACTCGGCTGGAGGTCCATAAGGATCTAGCGACCTGAAATCATTTATTTCTTATCTCATTAAACACAATATTATTTTAATGTCTTATTATCTTTTTTGTTTTTTGTTATTTTATCGTAATGTCCTCAATGGATCCTTATATTTGACACTGGTTGACATCAATTGATGTGATGACATATATGTCATGGTGGGCAGTGCTTTTTTCACTTTTTTTTGTTCAAGATTTTATTGCCCCATTTTGTGAGCATGATTAACGTGTATACTCTAGCCAAATTCAAACTTCTTAGTACCATTAGGTTTGAGTTAAACTCTGGATGGATAGACGGATGATTAAATAAACATACAGACATGGCAAACCTGAAAGGGTCCCTTGTCGACTACGGAACCCTAAAAATGTGTGTTTTCTTTTAAAATTAAATTACAGGATTTGAGTATTAAATAAAAGCTTGTAACAAAAATACCATGTCACTTTACATATTAATATTAAAGACACCAATATTATATGCACTGAATTAATAAATATGTAACTTACATTAATAATAATACAAAAAAATATATGCCAACATTTTGAATAAAAAAAATGAAAGAAAAGACTAACTGTGCAAAATTATATTTATTTCCTTTAAATGATAATTAGAATATACGATTTGTGACTTTATAAAGGTATAGCTGAGCAGCCGCAGTTGCCAGCGATTGAGACGACGCCACTGGCGGGTATCGCACCAGAGAAGCCAACAGCACCGAGTACTGGGATCTGGCCACCGATTACAGCTTGACCGCCGACGCCAAAGTCACCTCCGACCACGAGCTCAGCGTTGCCACTAGCGGTGAACGGGCCGGTGACGGGCACCTGGGACGTTGCAGCCACGTTTTGTACGCCTATACCAGCGCCATATCCTAGGCCGGCTACACCTAAGCCAGCGTTGTTCAATCCACTTACAGCCAAACCGGCGTTACCAAGACCAAGGCCAATGTTACCAATACCAAGACCATTAAAGCCAATGTTGTTTACTTCGGCTACAGCTAAACCAGCGTTGCCAATACCAAGGTTGTTAATACCAAGACCGTTGAGGCCAAGGCCGTTATTAATGAGACCTCCAATTCCCAAATTATTATTCAAGATTTGACTGTAGACATTCTGTAAATAAATAAAAAAATATTCACAAAAACATGATAAACTACTTTTAAACTAATTATACATAACGTGATATATTCGATATATTAGAGTTTTGAGTACAATTTTTATTATGCAGTAGGTACATACATAGCTACTATTTTTTTCTAAAATAAAATTCAAAGTCATAATGTATACTATTGTTGTATATGTCAAAAAATATTGTATACCTATGCACATTATGTTATTTATTGCATATCATACCTGGATAAGCAAAGCCTGAAGGCAAATCAATAAGAAAGTTGAGGAACTCATAACTGTTTTCCAAATGTTGGTGTTATAATAATCAAAAATAAAAAACAGCACTTTTATACCATTAAACAAATTGTTTTGTAATAAATTATTATTATCAAACTATCGAACACATTACATTTTTAAATATTTGTAAGCTTTGTAATTTGTGTTGTCATTTAAATTTATCCATTTAATGAAGTTTTGAAACAAAAATTTGTAAATCTAAAATAATGTAAAAAGTTACTGACACTGTGATAACGCTTTCTTGTTGTTATTATAAAAACAACTAAAAGCTACACAACGATCATAGTCTCGTTTTGAAATCCACAATGGCAGTTCATAAAATTATTATCGTCGTTTCGACATTCCTCGTTCAGGTAAATAGATTTTCGAAGAAAAATATTTGATACAGTTGTAATTATAGATTTTTTTTCACAAATTTATATTATAGCAATATTTAACTTTCGATAGGGTTCTTTCTAAAATTATTAAGTCAACAAAGATTTTATAAATTTACTAGCTTTTGGACAGCGGCTTCGCCCGGCGTGGTCTTGTGTTATACATAAAAACCTTCCTTTTGAATCAAGGGTTAAAAAGGAAGGTTTTTATGTATAACACAATAGGTATAGATAGGGATCTATGAAAAAAAAAATGCATCAAAATCCGTTGCGCAGTTTTTAAAGATTTAAGCCTACATAGGGATATAGGGACAGAGAAAGCGACTTTGTTTTATACTATGTAGTGAAGTGTTTATTCGTAAGAAAACACTTTAAAAACTATTTAGCGAGTCAATTATATAAAAAAGTCATGGTTCTATAAAATGCCATACATCATGCTCATAATCAATTCTGATCAAATTTTTAAGGCAAATTTGTTTAAGAAACCGCCTTCATTATTCTTCTTCAGGATTAAATGTAAATCATGTTTTATTCTTTCACAGGCTGTTTTCGGTCAAGATTACATCGGTAACACTTTTGTGGAGAATATCGTCTTGGGAAACTCCGGGGCAAATGGCATTAACGTGCTTAACTCCGGAATCAGCTCCTATGGAGTTGCCAATACCGGCATTGGCAACGCCGGTTTGATTAACGCAGGATATGGAAGCGGTATCGGTTTGATTGGCACAGGTCTTGGCAGCGGCGTCGGTCTGGTCGGAGGTAACGCAGGTGTCGTTAATGCTGGATTGAATGGCGTTACCTTCAACCTTAATGGCCTTACCGTTGGTTCGAGCAGCCCTCTGATCGTCACTAACATCTCCCCCATCGGTCCCAGTGGTCTCGCTGTGGCGTCAGAGAACGTGATCGACGGCACCTTGTTGGTGAGCGGCTCTCTGCCTTTCCTCAGCGCGGTGGCGTTTGAGGGCACGCTGCCAACAGCTGGATCTGGTATAGCCACGTGTGGTTGCGGTAATGGCGCTGTCGGAATCATCAACGTTTGATTCTTATTTTATCTCATTGATTTTACATAAGATTAAATGATTATGAAAAGTTATTAATTATGTTTTTTTCTTTTGATTCATTTTGAATATATATGTACCTCTGGAATGCATTCTTCACCTTATTAGTTCCTTATTTTGCTTAAAGCACCGTCTGATCTCACGCGAGCGCATGAACTTAAGGTGGATAAAATATAATAAGATAAGCGGAAAAAAAACATGGCGCTATTCAGTGCGACGCGAACCGTCCAACACGGATGTGTCCGTCGCTTGTAAATTTTTGAGAGCACCGTTCTGCTCCAGCTCCGCAGCACATTAAATGGACTGTACCTATAGGAAACATATATTTTACCGTCCGCCACGGACATCCGCCTAGGTCATCTGATTCGCACTGAACCAGGCCTTGATTGCCTCTTGACCGTATTCAATAGAACTCTGATATGCAGTCAAAAGCTAGACCTATAATTATATCACCAGTACTTAATTTAACCTGTTCCAGCTTACTTTTTCGCTCATTGGCTAAGTTGTTCTTCAGCATATGTTGATGTTGATAAATATTGTAATGTTATATGTTTGAAATAATTTGTAAGTTTTATACATGTGCTGTCATCTACGCCTAGTTTTTTATAGCTTTAGCTGCTAGCCCTAGCCCTATATGTAAACCGTCCTTATAATTGAGTTGTTTATTTACTTACTTATCGACAAATACTTATGTCGGAAGTAGTGTGTACCGCACTACATCTCTCAGAAGAATGCCAAGTTTCAAATGGGTATGCAACCCATGAATCCATAATTTTTCAAAATAATTCTAAATGAGTTGATCAAAGACTACGTTGAGTTCCTAAGACATTATCACCTTTGTTCCCAGAATGTCAAATAGTTGAGCTTCAAATTCGATTAGAATTTATTATGTCGACATTTCACAAACAGTTGTAAAACAATATTCATCACCACCAGCCCTTTTACGTCCCCACTGCAGGGGCTCAGGCCTTCCTTATGGATGGTTAAGGAGGATGGGCCATGACCCTCTACGCTGGCCCAATGCGGATTGGAGGGTATTAATGACTGCAAATGCAGCCGGGACCAACGGCTTAACGTGCCTTCCGAAGCACGGAGTAGCTCGAGATAATAATTTTTTGGTCACCCATCCCGTGACCGACCCTTGCGAAAGTTGCCTAACGACTATGATCGCGGGCTGCGGCGCTTATCCACTACGCCACCGAGCTACTACTAAAACAATATTATCAAAAATAAAATGTTAAACCTTTTGGATTTAGTGACTGCTAGATTCGCTTCAGAATATATGTACACAAGGCAGCACGTCTCGTTACCACAATATTAAATGGATATTGATTGAATTTCCGCAATGGATATTGAATTTTATTAAGGTTTAAAATTGAGAAATTATATTGATGTTATAAACTTTAGACAAAACATTTACATATCAAACAGGTTTATTCAACAGTAATCTCAAACTACATACCTACATCTTAAAATATCTGGCCGCTATACAAGAGGAAAAAATGACTCATTGTATACAAGGTATTTAAATAGAAACATAAAGAGAAAAGAAGAGTTTTTAGCATCGGTGTATTATACTCTACTTTTCACCTTATTTGCGAAAATATCAGTACAAATTTAAAACAAAGACGCTTTCCATCGTCTGTACCTATGTATGCTTTAGATCTCTAAAACCACGCAACGGATTTCAAATGCGAATTTTTTTAAAGATTGATTCAAAAGGTGTATTTTTATGTATAACTAGCTGACCCGACAGACTTCGTCCTGTCAAAAAGATTTGTAATGTGGCAGTTTTTTTGCCTACGTATTTAAAAAAATTCTCCTGAACAGAACCGTCACCCTGGTGATAGGGCGTTGTGAATAAAAAATAATTAAATAAAACATATATAAGGATTTAAAAGTAAGTAATCGCTTTATTGTTAATCATGTGAATCATAATTATTATTGCAATGTATTAATAGTAATAGTATTAAATATAGAAAAAAGAGATTTTTATGATCATAAAAACACATTACACACAACAGCATTATAAAAGTAAACTATTCGAATTAAAAAAATATATAAACATTCTCAAGGAAAAATGCTGGAAGAATCCATCTACCTGTACCCCGGAATGGGACTCGAACCCATTCGCGATCCAGGGACTGCTCTAACCAATGAGCTATCTAGGACCCAACAGCTTTGCTACTACAGAGCGTATTTTTATCAATGTTCCGGCAATACATGTAATGACGTGGAAACTGATGCATTTTATCTCGCGTGCCGAAACTAATACAAAAGAAACGCGAGTTTCGGAACGCGACATTAAACTCCTCCAACTATGTATTCTGTGCTCCAACGCACACACGCACATTGTTTTGATAGATATGATCTTTGACGTTAGGAACACACCTACATTGCTTAGACAACAGTGAGTGCTTGTAATTTAATATGAACTTTATACCATAGCAATAAAGCTCAAATTGACTACGTTTTAGTTACAAATCATTTGTATGGGAAAAAGAAAAGGGCTATTTTTAGGGTTTTTCCAGCAATAATTCAACTTCAACCATCCTTGAACTTCAACGAACATTTTAAAAAAAGATTTGGCCAAATTGGTCGAGGCGTTGTTGAGTTATGCGCTTACCAACACATTTTGCGATTCATTTTTATATATATAAGATACAAGGCCACGCGAGTGTAGCCTCTGGCGGAATGCTAGTAAATTACTCGTAATTAAATTTGTAGAAGTCCAATAACACTTTTGATGGTGGTAGGGCAAAACTAAATAGTAATGCCGTAATTCAGCCTTATATTGTAAGTGGTACGCGCATTTAAAAAATAAAAGAAGAAGAAGAAAATAAAGCAAAAATATACAAAGAGTTTCTTGTCGTAATCAATGTATAATATAGTAGTATCATGTCTTAACTGTTGTTTTATTTACATTGTGTCGTTATTAAACTTTAATGGACGTTTGTGCAAAGAGGTTTTGTTCTGTTAAATTATCCAGATCGTCAGTTTTAGTTCCATTTACAAAAACAAAATGTTCTCTTTTATGAAACAATAATAAGTCGAGTCTTTACTTATGAGTATTTCACTATTATTCCCTAGGCTCGTTGGTAAAAGACAAAAAATATATTTTAAAACTTTCTAAAGAACATAAAATTTATGTTAGCTTTGCTTTGATACGCTATACTGAGGGACCTTTTGAGCAAGATAAGTAAAAAGGTTATTTTGAATAAATATTTCAGCGAACGGAATTTCAGGTCAAACGTAAAATGAACGAAAATATACTTCTTCTCTTGTTATTTATTTTAAATTCTTAATGAAGAAAATGTTGATCGCGTAATTTACAAAGGCACAGTCGAGCAGCCGCAGTTTCCTGCGATGGAAACGACGCCACTTGCGGGTATCTGGCCAGAGAAGCCAACGGCACCGAGCACTGGGATCTGACCACCGACCACGGCTTGACCACCGACCCCAAAGTCACCTCCGACCACGAGCTCAGCGTTGCCACTGGCGGTGAACGGGCCGGTTACGGGCACCTGGGATGTAGCAGCCACGTTTTGTACGCCGAGACCAGCGCCATATCCGAGACCGGCAATTCCTAGGCCAGCGTTGTTCAATCCACCCACAGCCAAACCGGCGTTACCAAGACCAAGTCCAATGTTGCCAACTCCAAGACCAGCTACTCCAATATTCTCCAATCCAGCTGCAGTTACACCAACATTACCAAGGCCTAACCCAAGGTTGTTAACACCAAGACCACCTAGGCCAAGTGTGTTCAGTGCAAGGCCGTTGTTATAAAGGCCACCATTTTCCAAGTATCCACTGAGTCCAGCCAAACCACTGCTGGCGGCGGTGGCAGTAAAATCGACGCCAGTGTCACCCAAAAAACCACCATAGTTCAAGGAACCAAATTGACTGTAGACATTCTGTAAATAAGTAAATATTTAATTATTTTTTAGAATATTAAAATTGTACTCATTTTAAGGTCAATTTCACAAAATCATACCTGGATGAGCAAAGCCTGAAGGCAGATCAAGAAGAAAGTCGAAGAATTCATTATTATGAGTATTATTGGATTGTCTGTTGACCTTTGAATGATAATTTATAGGAAGCCTAGTTTTTATAGCAGACAAAAAAGGAATGTTTTGTAATTCACAATTACTATCATTCCGAATGCTGGATTTTAACATTTACGATTAATATTTGGCAACTATTATGTCATATGTTATTGTGTTATTGCAAAGTAATATGAAATTGTGTCTTTTGATAAAAACGGAATCTTAGATAACGTGAAATTGTAACAAGGTTAATAAAATGGTGATAGCTCACATATTTCTATAAAGCTATTTATATAAAAGCTGGTGTTTAGATACAACAATTATAGTTACGTTTTGGAACCAAAATGGCAGCTCAAAAAGTTCTTATTGTCGCTTCGGCTTTCCTCGTCCAGGTAAAGATGGATTTCTCACATCGTTACATTTCTTTATATTAGGAGCGTTTTTTATATAATTATTTCCCGAATCCTTATAGGTAGCCTGACTGAGATTAGTCACGTATTTATGTTATATTAGAAAAAGACTAATATTTAAAAAAATATTTTAGATCATCAAAGTTCATATAATATATTTATATATACAACATTTTTTCTTTACAGACTGTTTTTGGTCAAATTACCGTGTCTAACACCGGAATCAGCTCCGTCGGTGTCGCTAACACCGGTATCGGTAGCGCCAACCTATTTGGTGCAGGTCTTGGCAATGGTGTCGGTGTGATGGGTACAGGCATTTCCAACGCCGCCGGCCTGGTTGGTGCAGGTCTTGGCAGCGGCGTCGGTGTGATTGGCACAGGCAATACTGGCCTAATTGGAACTGGTTTTGGCAGCGCTGGTGTGGTTGGAGCTGGTCTTGCAAACACTGGTATTATTGGAACAGGTCTTGGTCTTAATACAGGATTAACTGGCGTTAACTTCAACCTCGGTGGCCTCACTATCGGTTCCAGCAGCCCTCTTGTCGTCACTAACATCTCCCCCATCGGCCCCAGTGGTCTCGCTGTGGCGTCAGAGAACGTGATCGACGGCACCTTGTTGGTGAGCGGATCTCTGCCATTCCTGAGCGCGGTGGCATTCGAGGGCACACTGCCGACGGCTGGCACTGGCATCGCCACATGCGGCTGCGGTAACGGCGCAGTTGGAATCATCAACGTTTGATTGACGGATCTTATCTTTGATTTCACTTAAAATTAAATGATTTTGAAAGCTAAAGAAATTACTCTTCTTACCCATTGTGCCCTTCAATATGTTTTGAACTATCACTTGCGTGATAAACGAGTGTAAATGCGGTCCAAAATTACATCTATTTGAGATGCCAAATTTTTAGCAGCTACAGCTGCGTTTGAAATAAAGTAACGAGTTACTATGGTAGAAAACTTATTACAAATTGGCAATTTCGAAATGTCGTATCAAGGACTGATCGTTAAAAACCCCTGGTCTCTCAGACACATAATATCAATCCTGTCATAAAATTAAAAAGCGTCTATCAACGGCATGCTATGAAACTTGGTGCAGCTAGTTTAGTCACAGAACAAGGAAAGACTGGTTTAGTCATATATGTATTGAGACATGGACACAAGCAAAAAAAAACATTTAAGATTATACTATAACTCAAACGTATTATACGTTTGAGTTTCAGACTGATTGTTTACATAATTGAAATCGTTTATATTGACAGGATTAATCTTAACTTTATCAAAACCTTTTCAGTTAGTTGTTTTTCATGCAGGCGAGTTTTTTGTTTGACTTTAATTATTATTTTATTTAAATATTATGGAAAGTCACTTCATGATTTCATTACACTAATAAAATAATTTTTTATCTTAATTGAGCATTGGATCAAACAAACTTAAAAACATTTATTCATAATTAAAAAATCTACTTTGTCTCTGGCACTCTGAGATGATTTTAAGCATTTTTCGTTAAGAATATTTTTCAGTATAACATTGCGAGTGCAAAATTTATCAAATATAATAACATTTATTCAGTCTATGTTGTTACAATCACTTCTGAATACCAAAATAATTAGCCATTGGTTCAGTCTAAGACGGAAAAGCCTGACACTGAGAAGAACTGATAAGAAACTCTGCTTGTTTCTCCCTTTTTTATTGAAGAAGCAACGAATGGTGCAGCATTTTCCTAGGTTTGTTTAGAGCGCTACAAACGTTCGCGCAATTAAGTGAACGATATTAGAATCATTGTTTAGTAAAGGACAAATTTTCTTTAAACTAATTCTTAAAGAATTTGCAGCAACCTGTTCGTATTTTTACTTAAAATCAACAACTAATATGCTCACTCTTAATACTCAAATCGTTTATACATAAGCACAGGTTTTATTAGATCACATAATGTATACGTATAATTTCCGTTGGTAAGTTAGTGTTTCGTCTCAGTGCAAATTTTTTTTTTCGATCGGACGCGCAATAAATATTTAGATCTTAATTATTTTGTTTAAAAAAAATTTTACTTAGTTTAGACAATAAATTAGAAATAAATCACCCACGTCTTCAACATTGGCAGTGATTCAAGCAGTTTTCATTAAAAAAGTCTCCCTCGCACACTACTTTGAGTTTAAATTTTCATCCCAGGCATTTAATCACAAAAAACATGTTAACATATATCAAACTAGAGTAATCACTTTGGATAATGAGAGATCTCAAAAAAATATACACTATAACAGATAGGTAGTAGTGATAGGAGTTTCAAAAGAAAGAGCTCAAAGTCAAGGAAATAATATAATAGAGATAGTAATTAAAATATATACAAAATAAAATACGCAGCTAACTAACGTCATGTTAGTTAGCTTAGCTGTTAGCAGAAAGAACAAAGACCAAAGAAAAAAGGAGAATAAAATGTCAACAAAAAATATACTTCAAAAATATCTCACCGGCCTGCTGGCCAGTTCGTAATATACACAATATTTGTTCAAGCCAATGAACATAGACAAAATTTTAAACCACATATTTAAGAAATTTTACTTTACAGTGACCAGAACACTTTTCGTGGTATGGTTATGTATATCACTTCTTCCTAACTTGCAAACAATCTTAGCTCTGCTATACAATATAACAATGAAAACATTGTAATAATTGTCTCTAACATTATACAAGTCTTTTGCATGCTTGACGGTTTATATTCCGGCGTAACTTTCCAACAATACGAAACGTGTCTTGGATTTCCGCGGTATCAACCTAACATCTATCTATCAACAACCTATCACTATCGTTATATATATCAATTTCATCATCATTTGCTTCAACACTACATCATCAACGGTTTCTGAGACAATTATCTTTTATTCTCGCATTCAATTGTAGACTTTTCACTAAACAATCAAGTTTCATTAATGTTACTAAAGTTTATATTTTGCACCACAGTATCATCTGCATAAAGTAGGCAGCTATTACTAGGATTCGCAATCTCACATTCATAGATTTCTCTAGAGGCATCTGTTGGGATATACGATATATCAGTTTTGCAATAGACAATACTCATTGACATTAATATTTACGCTAGGTTGAATATATTTATATAAGAGTCTTGAGTATTTGCAGTACCTATATACAAAGTGTCGCTAGTTCATTTGACTCACAAATTTTCTAAGTATAATTTTAGTGTTATGATTAAACAAAGGCAACAATATCTCCACATCACAAATATTCACGTTCGCTTTCGTGGTATTGCAAAATACTTACATTACAAATGACTATGTTACTCGTATTTTTGACTTCAAAGAAGTTCAAAAGTGGTCTACTTTAGTGATGAATAATAAATAAAAAGTAAAACATTGCTCAGTTCTTATTTATTTTCCATTGCTTAGGAAGTTGAATGTTGATTCGCTACTTTACAGAGGTATAGTTGAGCAACCGCAGTTGCCAGCGATGGAGACGACGCCACTGGCGGGTATGGCACCAGAGAAGCCAACAGCACCGAGCACTGGGATCTGTCCACCGACCACGGCTTGACCGCCGACGCCAAAGTCACCCCCGACCACGAGCTCAGCGTTACCAGTAGCGGTGAACGGGCCGGTAACGGGCACCTGGGATGTAGCAGCCACGTTTTGTACGCCGAGACCAGCGCCGTATCCGAGTCCGGCAAGCCCTAAGCCAGCGTTATTCAATCCACCCACAGCCAAACCAGCGTTACCAAGTCCAACGTTGCCAATTCCAAGACCAGCCACGCCAACATTTTCCAATCCAACTGCAGTTAAACCAGTATTACCAAGGCCAAGACCAATGTTGCCAACACCAAAACCAGCCACGCCAACATTCTCCAATCCAGCTGCAGTTAAACCAACATTACCAAGGCCAAATCCAAGGTTATTAATACCAAGACCACCAAGGCCAAGTGTGTTCACGGCAAGGCCATTGTTAATAAGGCCACCATTTTCCAAGTATCCACTTAGTCCAGCCAAACCACTGCTGGCAGCAGTGGCAGCAAAATCGACGCCAGTGTCACCCAAAAAACCACCATAGCTCAAGGAACCAAATTGACTGTAGACATTCTGTGAAATAGTAAAATTAAATACTAATAACATGTTAATTTTATTTCTTTGGTTTGTTTGTTGTTATTATAAGCATCTAACGAAGATTACTTCATTTTCAATTGTGCTAAATAATATCATGAAACAGGACATTCAGAAGAGCATATTTGGCTTCTTTTACGTATAATGTTTACAAAATTTTCACTTCACAATTCAATGTACGATCAACAGCACATCAAGTTATACAAAACTGTCAAATTTCTCTACTGAATTTGAAAGCTTAATATATTGTCGATAGAAAATAAATTTCATTGTAGAAATTTGACATATTGTGGTCACTGGATGTGCAGTCGAGTGCGTTTACTATAAAAATGTGATAGTTGAAAGAAGTTTTAAATTGATCCGGTTTTTAAGTTTATCTATCACAAATATAAAATCAAAAAAATCTTTAAAATTCATAATAATTTTTATTATGATTAATTAAGGTTTGTTTACATTCCGCTTAGTTCGAAATGTAACGCAGAAATTGTCTAAATTGATTATTTACAATAGTAAAATAATTAATCAAACCCATTTAAAGACATAAAATAAGTTTAATTTATTTTTTGGAATAATAATAGCGGCACACTATGAACTAAGTAAATTTTTTTATGAAGAAAGGTGATAATGAGATTCATTTTAAAGCTTAATTTTGTATTTTTCACAGAATTTCAACAAAACTTGTTTGAAATAAAATAACTCTAGTTTTTTTAATCATTGTCATTTTGAATGGTCAACCGTATAAGTAATTTTTTATATTGGTAATTTCTTAGCAAAAAAAATATTGTTATTATTTTATATCCACATTGTAACAGAACGAAAAATTATAACGCAAAATCATACAAACATTAATTATTATAAAGAGGTTCTTTTTTTATCGATTAGACACTGAAACTATTGGATCGGTTTCAAAAATTCTTTCACCTACCGGAAGCTACATCATACGCGAGTGACAACTATAACTACGTAGGCGTAGTAGCAGGAAAACAGTAAGTTCTTATAAAAATAATAATAAATACCTGAACGAGCAGAGCCTGAAGGCAGATCAAAAAGAAAGTTGATGAAGTCATTATTGTTATTCGAATGTCTGACGACCTTTGAATAATAATAAGTCGAGTAAAATTGGTATTTTATACTCACAAAAAACATTGTTTTGTAATTCTTCACCCTTGTTATCACGCCGTATGCTACATAATTGAACTAAACGGTTAATATTTAACAATTGTTGTAATGTAAAAGATTTCGTGAAGTTTTGAAATGGTCTAACTGATTAACTGAAACTGTGTATTGAGGTTATTGAAATGGAGATAAGTCACATATTGTGTAATTCCCTTTATATAAAATTGCTGTTTTGAAGTACAACCATCATAGTTTCATTATTGAAATGGCAGCTCAAAAAGTTCTTATTGTCGCTTCGGCTCTCCTCGTCCAGGTAAACAGAAAATAATATGTAAAATCCTCTCAAACATTTTTTGTAGTGTAAATCTACTTTTGCGCAGATTAGACTTACTCATTACAATTATAAGCGCATATATAAATGTGAATACCTCAGCCAATAAATAATATCTTTGTTCTTTTACAGACTGTTTTCGGTCAAATTACCGTCTCTAACAACGGAATTAATTCGATCGGTGTCACTAACACCGGCATCGGCAGCGCCAATCTATTTGGTGCAGGTCTTAGCAATGGTGTTGGTATGATTAGTACAGGCATTTCTAACGCCGCCGGCCTGGTTGGTGCAGGTCTTGGCAGCGGCATCGGTGTGACTGGCACGGGCCTCAACAATGCTGGCCTGATTGGAACTGGTTTTGGCAGTGCAGGTTTAGTTGGAGCAGGTCTTAGCAACACTGGTGTAATTGGAACAGGTCTTGGTCTCAATACAGGATTAACTGGTGTAACCTTCAACCTCGGTGGCCTCAGCATTGGTTCAAGCAGCCCTCTGGTCGTCACTAACATCTCTCCCATCGGTCCCAGTGGTCTCGCAGTGGCGTCAGAGAACGTGATCGACGGTACCTTGTTGGTGAGCGGTTCTCTGCCATTCCTGAGTGCGGTGTCGTTCGAGGGTACGCTGCCCACGGCTGGCACAGGCATCGCCACGTGCGGTTGCGGTAATGGCGCTGTCGGAATCATCAACGTTTGATTTTTGATCATCTTACTCATTTTACTTGTGATTAAATGATCTTGAAAGCTGAAAACCTACATTTTGATTTCTAATTTCGTTATAGCATCACTTGTAAAAAGATATCCTTATTTTATTAAATTTGATAAATATTACATTCACTATGCTATATTAATGAATAAGAGATAGGGAAAAGTAAAATAAAAATCAATTTCGACGCAGGCACAACCGCCGTATATCGAAAAAAAGGTGGATCTTAGTGGGTAGCCAACATACACCTTTTTTAGATAACATGATTGCATGCAATAGAAATGTAATGTCAGAAGCGATAAACACTGTCACTTAAAGGTCTTAATCTAAGATAATGAGGCCCCGTATGACGATAAAATTGCACTTTTTTTTGTAGAATAGACAAAGAACACTTCGCTACGTTTCGCGATCCTTTTAAATAGAGGTGTATAGGTAGAGAACTTTTTTTAAATATATCTAAAAAAGAATCATTTATATAAAATAAATTTAATATTCAAAATTTCCCGCGTATAAACCAACTTCTTTTATGTCGTCGCTATGATATCGTCATGGCCCTGACGCCCTTCTAAGACTAATGTTGTTATAGAACAATCGGTTACATAGGTACACATATCGGTAATACATAGGTATGCATAAGGTTTATTTGTCTAAGTTCTGAGATAAGTAAGAAGGGCTTGACGTCACGCGCTGTTTGCGTTCATGTAACGAGTATAATTTATTTATATTTTTCATAATTAATTTAAGCAAGTTTTGGAAGAAGTACCATCAACGAACACAAGTACACGGTTAACAAATATCGCAAAAAAGATTGCGAGAAATTAATGAAGAAAAAACACTTTTTCACTATTTTATATATAAAGAGTTAATTTATTTCCAAAATTCCGAAAATGCTTATAAATTCCACTTATATAATTTGATTTTAAAGGAGAAGCCTATACCCAAATATTTGGGACAATAGGTATAATAGATTGATAACAATAACAATGATAATTAATTATTCATTCATAACGAGCGCTTATTCCTAAAAGTCTACTTTAGACGTATGGCGTTACTAATGACTTTTAAATACATAGTTCACTATATCTTTATTAGATTATTAATGGAGAAAAAAAAACCGCATAGACTTAATAATTATTTATTTATTTTAAAATTCCTCATTACCTTGACACAGCCGCACTATTATTCATTAAGAATAAGAAAAAAGATCTTGAATTATGCTTAGAATTATACATATACCAAATTTTATTGAATTTCATCCCGTAGTTTTTTTCGTGAAAAAGTAACAAACATACATATATACATCCTCACAAACTTTCTTATTTTTAATATTAGTAAGATACAGAATTTAACAATTTTGTTACAAACAGATATAGACATCACGCCTTCTTCCGAGTCGTCGAGATTGCCGGTTTTAATTTCATTTTCAAATATTTAATTACCTAAGGATAAAACGGGAACCCTATTACTAAAATTTTGCTATCTGTCACCAGGCTGTATCTCATGAATCGTAAAAGTTAAACAGTTGAAATTTTCACAGATGATGTATTTCTGTTGCCGCTTATACAACAAATACAAAAAAATAGAAAAAAATAAATATTTAAGGGGCTTCTATACAACAAACGTGATATTTCTTGCTCTTTTCCGGTACGAGTCCAACTCACGCACGGAAACAATATGTAATATGGCGAATTTTTTTGTGAGTATTTTATTTACTAATAAAGAATTTTCTTTAGGGTCGATGGCCACAGAATAAAAAATGAAAAAGACTTATTTCTTTGAGCCTTCGCTTTAATACATAATAATGACGAACTTTTCGAGCAAAATCTTTTTAAGATTTTTCTTTTTTGATTATTTATTTTAATTTTGAATATTGGAAAACAAAGGTCGTAAAAAAGACGTACTATATCATAAAAACACTGGATCGCGTTAACAAAATTGTTGATATTCAATACATCAGAAATAGAAAGAGACGACAGACATTCACAAAATTTGGATACGTTGTAGTTACTATAATCACGTTTCAGCTCAAACCAAGTAGAGTAATGTTTTTGTTTATTTTTTACCTTAATCTGAGTTGTTTGAACTGTTTCATGATCCAATAACCACAGATAATGAACTTCAGGAATTGCATATTTTAAATACTAGTAATTTGGTCAATGCATGATTATTTCCTGGTTGGTTCATTTATGTGAACTTTTAAGCCATGGTAATGTAGTGTATCTCCCTCTATGATATAATCCAGCGGATCAGGAGCAATCTGGAGGAGAAGAAGATTGTGGCCCTGATCTTGCTGGACATAGAGGGGGCCTTTGACAACGCCTGGTGGCCCCAAATACACTGTAGGCTGCGAGACTTAAAATGCCCTATTAATCTGCGAAGGCTGGTGGAGAGCTTAAATGACAGGTCGGTCAAGGTGAGGTATGCAGATGAAGAGATAGAGCGGAGAACCAACAAAGGATGCGTGCAAGGGTCCATTAGGAGAAGAAAGATTTTTAATAGACTGCAGAGGGGGTTTGCCCAAAAAATTTCTTAAGCATATAGGGCTACATCACTAAATTCCGCCTTAGTATTGTCGGGGCTGCTTTCGCTGGATCTCCGGGTCCAAGAAGCATCCCGGCTTTATGAAGCTTAGCGTGGGAAACCCCAGGCAATACTAAGTGGAAGAAAAGTGGAGGAGATGGTATCTTTGCTGGAATCGAACCACCCCAGCAGCCTAGGAATGATTGAATTTGAATGTCTGGAGAATGCTGAGGAGGATGGAAAAACAGCAGAAGGCCAAGTGAAGATCTATACAGATGGCAGCAAACTAGAGGGAAAAGTCGGTGCAGCCCTGACCTGTTGGAAAGGGGCTGTTGAAATCGCTTCCCGGAAGTTTAAGCTGGAGCCATACTGTACAGTCTTCCAGGCCGAGCTGTACGCCATCCTTCAAGCAACGGAATATATGATGAGTAATGAATGGAAGGAGGTAGCAGTGCTAAGCGATTCGAGATCCGCCCTACAGTCGCTGCAAAATCCAGACTCCTCACATCCAATCACGAAGGCGATCCAAGGCAACCTGGTCCAGATTAGGGAACTTGGCCGCAAGGTCTCCCTATTTTGGATCAGGGCCCACGTCGGCGTGATTGGAAATGAGAGAGCGGACGAGCTGCCGAAGGGGGCGGTTCTCGGATTGAAATGCAAATCGCACTATGACGGGTGTCCCATCTTCCATGTAGTTTTAGACTGTCCCATGTTTAATAATTTAAGGCACACTATACAAACCAGCATTAACACAAAACTCAGCAAGGAAAATTTAAAATTAATAATGGAAGATAGAACTGAAAGAGAATTTTTTATTAGATACTCATGTAAAATTATAGAGAAAATTAATATAAGAAACAAAGATTAATGATAATAACAACAGACAGTGTAAATCTGTGATATTAGTATTATGAAATATCTGTCACCGAAAATAATATTAAAATAGAAAGTGAAACGAATGTAAAGTAGAATAAACATGATATATAAATAGAATTAAGCAAATGTAAATAGAATTAAGAAGACGATATGTAAATAACATTAAGAACAAATGTAATTAGTAAATAAGTAAAAATGTAATACCATATAAGTACAGATTAAAAAGAGGAAAAAAGAGTATTCCCAAAACACACAGGCTTTACATAAGACCTGTCTAAAAGAAAAAGAAAAGAAAGTACAAAAACAAAAAACAGTTAAAAAGACAGCCTGCTTAACAGTGGGGGAAACAGCAATAAAAAAAAATGAAAAAAATGTAGTGTATCTAATAAATCATTAGTGGCAGAATCTTTTTTCAAAATATTTATGTTCCAGTCACCGCATAGCACGATTTTTCTGTTTTTACATTTAGTTGTGAACAAATGCAGTAGTTTATCCAGTTTGTACAGAAATATACCTATGTGTGATTTCGTTTGGACTGGTATTCTGTATATATTTACTACTACAAGACCCAGTCCTAAAATTTCGCCACAACAATCAAAATAGTAGTCTGAGGCGAAATCTGATATAAAAGATACTGATTTTGCCTCTAATGTATTTTTAATCATTATTGAAGTCCCGCCCCGCCTTTTTTTACGAGAAAAATTAGCTACCAGTTTACAATTACAAATTGCACATTCACAAGAAATTTGACAGTGAACATGATTTGAATAAACTATATTATTTATATATTCTAACTGATAACGAATAATATAGACTCTATTGCAATATTAATCTTAAAACATAAAAAATAGCGAGAGTAACTTATCGCTTTCGTCTATTAATTTGCAGTTTTTATAACATGCGCCTAACATTGTAAAGTAATTATTTAATACTTTTTTATCTAAATATCTTAATTTTTATCTAAATTACGTACATACAATAAAATTATTTGAATATCTTTTAATTTAAATAAAAGGTTACAAAGGTTGGAATATAATATATGTGGATTTAAATCTTTTCCACCCGGAGATAAAATGATGATATCGTCCTTATTAAATGAATATTCGTCATTAAGTAAGTTATTTACAATCTGGGTACTTGGTGCATTTGGTTTTACTAATGCCGTTGTTTTGTATACATCATTCCAATTACCAGATCTCGTTTGATACAATTTGGTAGACAGCTCTCTCACATTTTCATCCCGAAATATATAAATCGTAGACTTTTTTACTCTCTTCTGTATAGTGTTATGAGTTTGATTAGCAGAATTGGGTCTTTTTTTGTTTGCAGCAGATATTTCTTTATTAAGTAGAGAAGTTTTCGGCGTACTTGAAAAATTTATCTGTTCTTTTTGCAATGTCCTTTTGTTTTCATTATCTGAGTTATTGGGAGAATTATTAAACAGCTGATTCTTATTAAGCTCAATAAAACTATGATTTATTTCTTGTCTCTGTTTGCACAATTGAGTTCTGTTTAACTTATTTCGTTTAGTTGAATGCTAATTTGATGTAAATTGACTCAGACTTATAAGTTATATAGCTTTATTTTCATGGCATTTATCTTATTTTTCAATGTA